TAACAAGAAGGCGCAGGGTCCCTTGAGTGAGCACTTGAGCCTGGGTTCCCAGTCTCCTCTAGAGGGCTGTGGGATCACCCACAGCCAGCAGCAGAGGACACGAGGAGACGGACTCTGCCCCAGCGCTCTGACCAGCTCTTTGACAAAGCCTTGAGCGTGCTGCAAAACGCATTCTCCTAAAACCAACTTTGTCCAGAAGGTAACCAGGGACCCCGTCCCACCAACGAGAAGGAAATGCTGCCTTAGGCCTTGGACCCCGAGGCCTCCAACTCCTCCCAGTCTCCTTCAGGCCCCAGAGGCCCCAAGAAGACCAGCCTGAGGTCACGGAGCAGGTTCATTGCCTGGTAAGCGAGCTTGAGCAGAGGAGCGTGCAGAGAACCCCGAGCACCAGCGTGGCTCTGGAAAGAACACCTCACTCCGGAAGCAATGGGTGGGAGGCTTCCTGCACAAATGAGTGACTGTGAAGGTGGCGGCCGCTGCCTGAGGTGAGAAATGGCCCCTCTGAGTCCAGGGAGAGAAAACAAGAGATAATCACTGGGTGGCCAAATGGACCCAGGTGTGCATGGTGAACACCAGACAGTGTGACACCTGCCCAGGAAGTAGGACGACCCCCCACTTGGGACGTCAATGATGACTGTCCTGATGGGCAAGCTAAAGGGATTAAAACCCAGAGCCGGGTGGGTTGGGGGTGGAGGGGAGTGCTCACAGGCTGCCCAGCTTCTGAGTGGGCCCATTGCCTGACGTCCTGAAGTATGCCTGGTTGATGCCAACACCCCTTTTCCTCTTGGCTGTGATGCCTACACTGAGACCTGGTTTTCAATCATGTGGTGGGAAGTACAAACTTTAAGAGGTTGTGGCTTCCAACCCACCAGGGTGCTCAATGGGAAACACCTTTATTAATCTACTTAGCGAGGCCCGGTGTTGTGGTGGGTCCCTCTTTGTGCTGCCAACTACACGGGCAGCAGTTCAAAACCAGGATCTGCCCACCAGAGACAGACGAAGCTTTCTTACTCCCTGGGCACTTCTAGTCTGTCCCCAGTCAGACTTGACTCAATGCCAGTGGGAATCTACTTTGCCAAGAAAACCCTACGGCATATTTCTATTCTGTGACATGCTGAATTGCCATGAGTTAGAATCCACTTTTTGTCCCCACAAGAAGCCCTGGTGATGCTGCTGAGTAACTGCAAAGTCAGAGGTTCAAATCCACCAGCCCCACTGTGAGAGAAAGATGAGGCTATAAAGATTTTCAGCCTTGGAAACCCTATAGAGGTCCTCTATGAGTTGGAATCAACTCAATGGCAGTGGGTTGGGGGCAGGAGTTGTCCCTACAAAGCTAACTGTCTGCTGCTAACTGGGTGTGTTATTTGTTTTGCATCTGTAATACATCTAAAAGGGAATACAGTAAAGATGCACATTGGGCTTGGACATTTTACCTTTACCGTGTAATGGATCAAGTTCAGCCAGTGACCCTGGATATATGTGGGCCCCCTTCCAGTGTCAGTGGTGGAGAAATCCCCATGTGCTCAGGCTTATGCTAGTCTACCAATTCCTCTAAGCTAAGTCTAAACTCAAATTCACTGCCATCGAGTCCGTTCCAACTCACAGCAACCCTATGGGACAGCATAGAACTGCCCTCGTGAGTTTCTAAGACTGTAATTTTTAATAGGAGAAGAAAGCTTCATCTTTCTCCCAAAGAGGGACTGGTGACCTTGCAGTTGGCAGCCCAATGTGTAACCCACTAGTGCACCCCCGTGTGGGAAGAACCAGAACCTCACCGTCAACCCCACTACTAACCTGAGTACTCTCAAATTAAAAGGATTTATTCTGGCTGCGGCGAAAGAAAGTTAAAATCTCAGAAATCCAAAAGGGACGTTCTCCCCTGCCCTATAGGATTGCAATGAGTCAACATGGACTCGTGGCAGTGGATTTTGAGTTAGACTTCAGACTGTAGGAGGCCCTGGTGGGATCCTGAGTTACCCATTGAGCTGCTAACAGCAAGGTCATCAGGTCAAAACCCTGTGATTTTGTTAATTCCCTGGAATGACTTGTGGAGTCATACATATGTCTGCACCGTTATTTCAAAAAGGAAACAGAACCGTATGCTGAGTGAAATCAGCCAATCACAAAAGGACGAGTATTATACGAGGCCAGTGTTATTGGGGAAAGACAGAGGGTGGGTGTATTAGTCTGGGTACTTTGGAGAAACAAATCCACAGAAACTCATGTATAAGAGAGAGTTTTATGTAAAGAAAATGTGCATCACGAAAACATCCC